TGTTGGAGGAACTCACAAGTGTATGACAAGAAATTTGGACAACAGCTCCCTGGCCAGTCTACAAGAAGAGATCCATATCTCTGCCCATTCCAAAGAAAGGAGACCCAGCAGAATGCAAAAATTATCAAATAATACCATTCCTATTACATACAATCCAAGTAAATTTTGCTCAAGATAACTTTTTTTTGGAAGTTAACTTTACAATGGGTGCAGCCGTTTATAGACAGACATCTGCTAGAAATTCCAGGCAGATTCAAAGAGGACATGTAGTAAGGGGTCTAACTGCAATGTCAGATGGATGTTGATTGGCTGAAAGCAGAAACAATCAGAAAGGTGTTTACTTGTGTTACTGACTATGCAAAAGCATTTGATAATTGAAATCATAACAAACTTTGATAAAATTGTAAAAAATTCAAATTCTAGAACACTTAATTATGCTCACGTATAACTTGTAAACAGACCAACAGGTAGTCATTTGATTATGCATGGTTTAAATTCTGGAAAGGTATGTGTTAGGGTTAGAGCCTTTCCCCATACCTGTTCAACCTGTATGCTGAGCAGCTAACCTGCAACGCTGGACTGTGCCGGGCACATGGCTTCAGGATTGGAGGAAGACTTATGAACAACCTGAGATATGCAGACAGCACGACCTTGTTTGCCAAGAGCACTTAAATTGTCTACTGATGATTTCAGTATAGATACAAGTCAACGTTTTCACCCTTTTTTAACCCCACAAAAATTGTGAAGCCCTCTCAAATATATCTGAAAGAAATAGGAGCTGTGGCACAAATCGACATATGCACACCAAACACCCATATTCATCCCAGCAATAGAACAGCAAGAAGATGGGAGCAACCTAAGTGTGCCCATCATTGAATAAGATGGATAAACAAACTCTGGTACATACACACAGTGGACTGCTCTGCAACAATAAAGAATAACAGTGATCACACAGAACATCTCATAACATGGATGAATTTGGAGAACATTATAGTGAGTGAAACAAGTCAATCACAAAAGGATAAATTTCCTATGAGACCACTATTGTTAAAAGGTTTACAAACAAAAGAAAAACAAAACAATGTGATGGTAACCAGAAATAAGAGAGAAAGGGAAGGGAAAAAGAGTAACTCAATTGTTTTTGTGTCTGTGTGTATGTAAGCAGCAGGATCTGACCTTCTGACTTCACATGGATGAAAGAGAGTTAAACTCTTCAGCCCAAAAACAATCCCTATGAGGCAGAGGTCAAACCGACTTCCATCCTCTTTCATCCTTTAGCAATTCTGACTCCAGCTGACCCCTCCCAGAGCACTGTCTGCCTCTCAGCTGGACTTGATAATGCACTGGAATAGCCACACAGAACTCACAGCCCATACTCACGATTATGAGGTCTATTAGGGAAGTTAACAAGTTACAGTTCAGGATCAGAAATGCTCAAGACACAGTTTTTTGGTCAGGCCTCTCTCTGGTCCAAGGCCTCTCAGACATTTGGCTCCTTTTAGGTCTCCTGATAAAGGTCTACAGGGCACCCCACTCCACCATAAGCTTCTGCCTCAACATGCCTAGTTCTCTAGCCCAATGGATCAGCAAACCCAACTCCCCCAATTAAGTGTCTCAAGGCACCCCACTCCACAAATTCTTCTGCCTAACAGTAGCCTTACTCACTCTATGGACTAGGAATTCACCACTCTGTCTCATTTTCTGGTTCTTGGTCCTCTTGCTGCTTCTCTGGTGTCTCAGCTTTCTGTCCCTAGATTGAGGAGATTCAGTGCACAGGGATCTCAGGATGCAAAGGACACACCCTACTCTTGGCTTTTCTTTCTTGGAGGTGGTGAAACCCCCATCCTGCTTCTGAGATGACTCATTTTAAACCCAGGAGTATAGAAAACTGGCCAACCACATGGTTAGAGTTCCAAGTTTTTACAATCACAATTAACCCTATTAGCAATCAATCACAACTGAATCATATGTTCTTTTAACATCTTCACCATCTCTTGCCAAGACTCCTCAGGAAAAAAAGTTGTTTAATGGGAGTTACAAAGAATGTGATTATGTTTGAGCCCATTGTTATAACACTGTATCAATTCATCTCACAATAGATATTTGTAGCTGTTTCCTCTCATTTTGAGTCCTGCCCCGTCAGCATATGAAGCTTTGCTGCATCCACATCATTACAGTCAACTCTACTTTAAAGAGACATCTCTTGGGAAGCAAATGGAAAAAACCACATGGAAAAAACACACAAGCCTTTGTGATCATGAGGTATCAACAGGATCAGGTATCAAAAGATACAAAACAAACAATAATGTCAATGTGAAAGAGTGGGGTTGTAGTGGAGACCCAAAGTCCATATGTAGATAATTGGACATCCTTCACTGAAGGGTCACAAGGAAGGGACAATTCAACCGACGAAACACACATCACCCCTCTAGTTCCTAGATGCTTCTTCGCCCCCACTACCATGACCCAGTTCTACCTTACAAATCCAGCTAGACCTGAGTACACACATTGGTACAGGACAGATAAACCCTCAGGAACAGTAGTGGAAGCAGTGACATCATGAGAGTAGGGGGACAAGGGGAGGAGGGGAGAAAGGGGGAACCAATCACAAAGTTGGATGTATAGCCCCCACCCCAGGGGGATGAATGAAAGGTGGGTGAAGGGAGACAACGGACAGTATAAGATATGAAATAACAATATATAATTGATCAAGGATTCACAAAAGGAGGAAAATAATAGCTTAACATCCTTTTGGGTAGCAGCTTATCTTATAGCCCTGTGTGCCACCAGGGCTTCTTGTTGTTGTTGTTAGGTGCCATCGAGTCCGCTCCGATCCATAGGGACCCTAAGCACAACAGAATGAACACTGCCCAGTTCTGTGCCACCCTCACAACGTCCCCGTGCCCGAGGCCATTGATGCAGGCACCGTGTCAGTCCGTCTCCATGAGGGCCTGCTTCTTTTTCCGAGCCCTTCCACTTTACCAAGCATGATGTCCTTCTCCTGAAAATATGTCCCAAGTATGTACGACGGAGTCTTGCCATCCTTGTCTCAAAGGAGCACTCTGGCCCTACTTCTTCCAACACAGATTGGTTTGTCCTTTTAGCAGCCTGTAGCACTTAGACTATTCTTCTTCGGCACCACAGTTGGAATGCGTCTATTCATCTGCGGTCTTCCTTCTTCAGCGTCCCACTTTCACATGCATATATGGTGCAATGGAGATGCCATGGCTTGGATCGGGTGTATCTTAGCCCTCAAAGTAACATCCTTGCTTTTCAATACTCTAAAGAGGTCTTGTGCAGCAGATTGACCTACTGCAATATGTATTTTCATCTCATGACTGCTGCTTCTATGAGCATTGAATATGGTTCCAAGGGAGACAAAATCCTTGACAACTTCACCTTTTCTCCATTTATCCTGATGTTACCTATTGGTCCAGTTGTGAGGATTTTGGTCTTCCTCTTATTGAGTTCTAATCCACACTGAAGGCTATGATCCTTGATCTTCATCAGCAACTGCTTCAAGTCCTCCTTACTTTCAGCAAGCAAGATTGTGTCATCTGCATATCACAGGTTAATAAGCCTTCCTCCAATCCTGGTGCTGCACTCTTCTTCATATAACCCAGCTCCTGTGAGGATTTGCTCAGCATAGAGATTGAACAAGTATGGTGAGAGGATACAGCCCTGACACACACCTTTCCTGATTTTAAACCATGCAGGATTCCCTTCTTCTATTCACACATCTGCCTCTTGATTCATGTACAAGTTCCACATGAGCACAATGAAAGGCTCCGGAATTCCATTCCATTCTTCTTAAGAGGGGTTTTTAGGTCTTTGCTTAAATGCCAGCTCCTCTGGATGCCTTCCCATCACCCATCTCCCCCTGCTCTGTCCCGACCCCCCCCCCCACACATAAGTCTGAACTGGGTGACTTTCTCTGTACTCTGACAAAACCTGAGCCTACCTCTCACAGCACCTGTAAAACAGTTACATTTCCATATTATTCATTTTTTACACTTCACATTAGACTTGAAACTCTTTAAGAGCAGCCCTGTGTCTTCTCTGGCATTCCTAAGGCCCAGAACAATGCTTGCCACAAAATAAACTTCAGTAACTCTTTCTTGAATGAATTTCGCAAGAATGCCTGTGGCCAAAAAAAGCTGACAGGTCCCTGGTGTGTGTTCTCGTTCCACATCCAGCATTCTCCTGGGGTGCAGCCTGCGGATGTGGAGGAAGTTGCCAAGAAGGGTGTGCAGACTCTCGTGATTGGCCGAGGGATGAGTGAGGCCTTGAAGGTAGGTATCCATGTGCACAGCGTTCTCATGACAGCTGATGCGCTCTTAGACCTTTCCATAGATACATGGCCTTCGCAGGGATCCACCTCTACATGGCCTGCACTCAGTGTGCTCAGCCCATGGCTCAGCCAGAATGGAATCATGGCTGCGCCACTACTGTGCCTGCTCAGAGCTAGGCTCTCCTCTCGCTGGGTAACCTGGGGAGGGAGGGGGGCAGTGTCGTTCTGTGGCTCAGGAATATCTCCAGTCTGGAGGGCTCATTTCTCAAGGCCTATTATCAGCTATACTTGTAGGGTTTTACTTTTTATAGTACTTTTTCTTTTCTTAAGTATAATCAAGTTCTAGGTCTCCCCACCCCCACTTTCAGGGAAAAATAGAGCTTTTTAATTAACAAAAGTAAAATATGCTCATTTGTAAGATACCTAACAGTGCAGAAATGTAGGAGTAAAAAAGTGAAAGACTTCCCCTCCCCCGGTCTCCACATTTTGTATATTCTGCTCCAATTCTCCTTGTAGACATCAACAAATAGGTACACACACATATATACATGCGTATACCTTTTTACATAAATTGGATCATATTCTGCATTCTTCTGTAAGTTTTTTTGCTTATTATATTATGGGCAACCTTCTACATAAGTTATGTTAGTCTGGGTAGACTAGAGAAACAAAATTATAGACGCTCATGTGTTTATAAAAAAGAGTTTTATATAAAAGAACGAGCAATTGTATATTAAGAAAACATCCCATCCCAGTCTAGATCAGGTCCATAAGTCCAATATTAGTTCATATGTCCAATATTAACCTATAAATTCCTCTTTAGACTCACACAGCCATGCAATAATGCCGAATTCAGGAAGATCACAGGCCACTAGGTGGAAAGTCATTTGGATCCAGTGGCAGTAGAAGCGTCTCAGTGCTGGCAGGGGTCTCCATGTGGCTCCTCCAGCTCCTAGGGCTCTGGCTGCATCAGTGTAACTCCATCAGGCTCATTGTCAGTAATGTCTGTCAGAGAGTGAGCATGTATCCCTCCTCCTGCAAGATATTAATCTCTGTAATACCTCCAAATGAGGTCATCAAGCTGCGACCTGATTGACAGGCTAAACTCCACCCCTTCACTCTTAAGTCTCAAAATGACAACAGATGATATAACTACCACATAAGTATATAGAGATTCTTCCCTTAGTATCTCAAAAACTCACTGCCATCAAGTCAATTCCAACTCATAATGACCCTATATGACAGAGTAGAAGTGCCTTGTGAGTTTCCAAGACTGTAAGTCTTCACAGGAGCAGCTGGCCTCATCTTTCTACCACACAGAGCGGCTGGTGGTTTAGAACCACCGACCTTGTGGTTAGCAGCTCAATGCGTGACACACTCTGCCACCAGAGCCCCCTTTTTGTATAGCTAGCCAAAAATCCAGTTCCCTACTGATAAAGATGCCTTTTATTTATTTATATATTTTAGTTTTAACTGGTTATTTTTCCATTAAAATGGAGGACCCTGTGTTAATTAATTCACAAACCTTTTAAGGGAGTACCTTCTAAAGATCAGACACTATTCTCAGCACTTGGGACATGGAGACAAGTGAGACAAATAAGGTTCATCCCCTCATAGATAAGAAAAAGGGAGGCCGTCATTTCAGATATTGATATATCTGCAAAGGTAGTTAAATGGTGACCCATGACCGGAGCAGAGTGGTTTTTTTGAGTGGTCTGGAGTCTACCTCCCTGCGTTCATTTCATCCCCCCAGCAACCTGGGATGTAGTTCTATCCGCAATGTACAGGTAAGGAAGTGGGGGCTGAAGACTTTAAATAACTGGCCCAAGGTGGCTACGAGGCAAAGTTAGAATGTAAACACAGGCTACCCAGTTTGTAATATTTAATGTCCCCTAAGGCTCTTTACCAGGCTAGACCTGGTATAAGCCTTGGCTCACTGAGTTCCCTTCGCACGCCTGTGGGCTGGGTATGTTCCTCCCTAAGTGACAGCCCTGGCAGCGGAGGCTCAGAGAATTGACCTCACTTACCCAAGGTCGCGCTGCAGTCTGGACCGCAAGGCTGCCTGCCTCCAGCAGCCCTGCCTTTCCCTTTTCACCCGAGCTTTATGCCTGGATGACACTCTGTCAACTTCCTGGCCTTCTTCATTCCTTGGGGCGCTCTGGACGGTGGCATGCTGGGTGACTGAAGAGTGACTGCTGTCACCGTCTAATTTTATACTCGCACATCTACTGGCAGGAGAAAAGGGCCTGGGGCAGGAGTGGGGTGGGGTTTCCCCGATTGGACTCATCGCTTTCTGAAACTCTTTCCCAGGTGCCCCCATCCACTGTGGAATACCTGGAGAAGCAAGGCATCCACGTGCGGGCCCTGCAGACGGAGCAGGCGGTGAAAGAGTACAATGCCTTGGCTGCCCAGGGAGTCAGGGTGGGGGGCGTGTTCCACTCCACCTGCTGACCAAGCCTCCAGAGGAGAATAAAGCACTAAGCCAGCAGCCTGTGACCCTCCCTCTTACCGCTCTCCACACCAGCCTTCCACGAGCATTTCTGGACACCTGTTTCACGTCCGGTCCTACACTAGGCTCTGGGGCTTTGGGGATACACACGACTGAGGCAAGTCCCTGTCCTTGGGGTATCTGGGCATCAGGCGAGGAGACAGATGTTGACTAATAATAATAACAATAATGATGCTGTGTTAGGCTGGAAGCACGAGGAATTAAATGGTAAAAATAAAGGAAGCAAAAATAAATAAATAAATAAATAAAGGAAGCGTTCTGTCTTGAAGGCTGAAGAAAAGTTATTTGTTTTTTGAGAAAAGTTGTAATGCCTTAAAAGTCTGTTGCAATGAAAGCTTTGGAATGTATAGCCATCCACTCAACCAGTATATTTATTATGGACTTCATATGCCAGGCACTGCTGCGCCCCAGAGGCAGAGCAATCCATGTTTGCCCTCCTGAAACATATTCTAGTGGGGGAAATAAACAAGTAAACAAATAAATAGGATGTTTTAAAGTATTATTGGGGGGTGTGGCACGGCACGTGTTGGAAGACTGTTTGACCTACACAGCCAGGGAAGGTCTTTCTCTGTGCGATGACATGTGAGCAGAGCCTGAATGAAACACAGGAGCAGACGTGAGGTCACAATGGGAGGAGCCTCAGGCCCTCCACTGTAAAAGGATGGAATTGGACTAGAAACCCTTTGAAGGTTCCTGCAGGCCCAGATGTGTTCTATGTAGTACCCAGGTGACCTTTGTGAAGCTTTGGAATACACTAATGTTCTCGGCACCACCTTTGTCTTTCTCCTGTAAAGAGTGGAGTTTTTGGTGCCAAATAGCCTTCACTAGGATCCGCAGCTCTAGGCCACTCACTGGCTGGGCATTTGTTGAATCGCCCAGAGTCTCGCTTTCCTGTTTACTAATCGGGATGATGGAGGAGCCCTGGTGGCACAGTGGTTATGCTTTGGGCTGCTAACTGAAAGGTCAGCAGTTCAAGCCGTTCCTCAGGAGAAAGATGGGACTTTCTACTCCCAGAAAGAGGTAGTCTCAAAACCTCACAGGGGCAATTCCAGTCTGTCCTATAGGATCACCATGAGTCAGCATCAACTTGATTGCAGTGAGTTTTGAGTTATTAACAGGGATATTAGTACCTGGGGTCGTGGTAGACAATAAATGAGGTAATTTGTACAAAGCCCTAGTACCCTGCCTGGCATGTAGCAAGGACTTTATAAATTGAAGTCCCTATGTCATTGTCTATTAACGGGGCTGCTGTACAACCCAGCTTGTTTTAATTTCTGGCCCTTAATGCTGCAGCAACTTATTATCTCATATATTTAGTGTTAGTGTCCAAAGAACTATCTATGCATTCTCTCCTCTGTTCACTAGTCCTCCTCGATGTCCATGTACAAAGGCCTAATGGCTGCTTATTGCCGGGCCCTGAAGGTACTGGGATGAACAGGTGATAGTTCCTGCCCCCAAGCGCTGCTGTGGGAAAGACAGAAAAATGAACAGTAATGATTCACTGCATTAAGAATCATAACAGGGTTCACTATGGGCACAAAGGATGGATGAGCTTATCCAACCAAGGTGGAAGGAAAATTAGGGAAGACCCCAGTAAGGACACGGCCCTTAGATGACATTTTGCTACATCTGAAGGATTGAAATGTTCATCATTCAGCAAACATTTCCTTGGCAACTCTCTAACTAGACATTTCTGAGACATGTTTGTCATAGTCCTGGCTACCTAAAATTGCTCCAGTCCTACCCTTATTGAAGCAGCAGCCCCAGAAGGCTGATTTTTGCTCCACATGATACCCCCGCCACTTGATTGGCCCACTGGAGTTTCTGACCTAAGGGGAGTCAGTCCATTCAACTGGACAGCAGCTTCAGGTGTGGTCTGGGAAGAAACGACAAGCTGATCCAGTGTGACGTGATTTCCCCAAGTTCACCCAGCAAGTAGAGCTTGCTGGCAAAACCCCAGAGGCAACCTTGATTGCTTTCTGCCACCTGTGACCACCCTGCTCCATGGGAATAAGATCTCCACAGGCCTGACACCCGGGAAAGGAATTGGAGGGTGGGGGTGAGGGTGGTGGCTGGTGTCTGTGGCTCAGCGCACCCTAAAAGCCTGGCCACAGTACAGTTAGGAGGGACAGTTCATGAGACCGAGATCCACACTGCTGACACAGCCCATTTCTGTGTCTCTATGTGTCAGATGTGATGGGAGAGAGCTCCAGTGGGTGGTGTGTTAGGTGTGGGTGTAATCACTGTTCCTAAGTGAATTGTCACCACATCCAAGAGAATTTAATCCACACCTCTTCAAGACAGAGCATTTGGCAGTGAAGTTATTAAAATTTGAGTTGATCCTGATAATAAAATAGACCCTCCTGAACTGGTGCTGTAAACTGGCCCGTGCTATAAACTTTCAGAACCTGGAGAGACTGCTATTCTCCCATGACACCACTCTTAGTCCTATGACTTAATTACGAAACGTTTGGGTCTTTTTGTGTTTGTAGGTAAGCACAGCTCTCACTCTGCCCACTTAACATATAGCTTGAGTGGTTTGAAGACAAGAAGTCTGACCAGTGCTGGGCACGTGCCTTTCTGCTCCATCATTGTTTGAAGTCAGTTACGTCGAACCCAAATATTAATAAAGGAAACACAGGGCTTCCCTTTGCAGGTCGACTGTCACAGTGGGAGAAGGCCGGTCTGCTCACAGGAAGGTCCACCTTGGAGCTCTCCAGCCACTCCAGAGGCGAACGATGGAGTGGTCTGCTTTGTGAAGTCCTGCAGCCTACAACACTGCAGGGCATTTCTACTCTGTCCTTCAGAGCCTCCGAGCTGGAGTTGACTCATAGGGAACAGGTCTTGAACAGAGTGGCACTGAGTTCACCCTAGTCCTCATTTATTTTTGCATTGGCCAGGCCATGCCATGTGTTAGTCCAAGTGGACAAGAGAAACAAATCCAGAGACACTCATATGTGTATAATAGAGAACTTTCGATCAGAGTGATTGTATATAAAGAAAACATCCCAACCCAGTCCAGATCAAGTCCATAGTCCGATATTAGCCCATATGTCCCATACCAGTCTGTAATTTCCTCTTCAGACTCACGTAACACATGCAATAACGCCAAATGCAGGAAGATCACAGGCCAGCAGGTGGAAAGTCTTGTGGATGCAGTGGTGGTGAAGCAACTAAGTCTCCATGTGGCTCCTCCAGCTCCAGGGCTCTGGTTCCATCAGGGGTCTCCATATGGCTTGTCAGCAGAAAGACAGTGTGTGTCCCATCTCCAGGGCGGAAGGCAGAAGTTCCCAAAATCCTCCAGAGAAGGACATGCCCACACAGATGCCTCATTGGCTATGACCTGATTGACAGGCTAGACTTCACCCCTTGGCAGTTTGGCAGGAGATGGTGTCACTGCCACACACCAGGAGTGGGGCTGGAGACAGGACAAAGGCATTGGGACCGGAGGTGCTCGCTGCTTGGCTGGATGAACTAGACCTGTGACCACACGATGGAGAAACTGCAGGCTGGCCCAAATCCTACTGAAGATATGGGTTGCTTCTCAAAATGATTTTAACATTTGCCTTCTCTCCAGAAGATTAAAACGTGAAAATCAGATTTCTGGAAATAACTGGAAACTCGGATCCCACCAGGTTGTGTGTGCACACTTGCCGACCTATTCCTGCTCAGTCCGTTGCGGCTCATAACAAAGCTAGAGGACAGGGTTGAACTGCCCCTGGGGGGAGGGGGGGTCTGAGGCTGCAAATATTGGAGCAGAAAGCATTCTCTTTCTCCATCAGAGTGGCGGGTGAGCTTGAACCGCTGACCTCGCAGTTAGCAGCTCAAGTAACCAACAACTCCACCAGGGCTCTTGCCTACACTTAGCTACAATGAACAATGGAGTCAAACCAAAGAAGCAACTGTCCTTCCAGCAGTGAAATGTGCTCTCTGGTTCTTCAGTCTCTATTCTCCGGGCCACTTTCCTTTTTTACTTTTCCTGCCCCCCATTAGAGGTTTTCTTACATTTGAGAACTTGCAATGCATGATAATTCTCCATTTGAAAATGCATAGGTGGCCATGAGAACATAAAGGCAATGCATCAAGCCCAGGGGAGACACAGATAGGTTCTAGAATGAGGCCAAGTCCTGAGAGGGGTAAAAAACCTAAGAGCTAATCTGCAGTTTATTTCAGGGCTGATGAGGCCCAAAGGCTAGAGGTGAGCGATCATGGTGAGTATGGGAAGCATAGATAATTCTAGATAGTGGTAGAACAGGGACAATTTCAGACATGGCGGTCAGTACAGGCATGAGACCAGTGGTGAGTGACTTAAGGAAAAGGCATGATCAGAGTTGGGTTTAAGAAAAGTCGCTCTGACAGCTGCGTGAGGATGGACTGGGGGGTACACGGTTTGAGCTAGGATACACTTTGGGGTGATGGCGGCCTGACTCAGGACAGAAGCAGTGCCTGTAAGAGGAGGCCCGACCTAGAACAAAGCACATTAGGGTAAGCAGCTCCAGGACCCGGTGGCTGGTTTTATGAGGGAAGAGGAAGGAGTCTAATGTGATACACAGGCTTCGTGGTAGACCATTTACAAGGACAGAACAATAGGCCTGTAATGAAAATCCCTGGACTAGGAACACGAGGCCCCTGTCCCAGCCCCAGCTACGCCACTCATTGTCTCTGTGGAATTGTGCCTTCACTTTTAAAATGGAGTGATGCTGGTGAACTTTATGCTCCTTCCCGGCCTACTTAAGGTCTTTTTGGTCACTTGTGAAAAAAATGTGGGGTGAGATACAGAGAAGTTGTTTACATTTCCCAGCAGCTGAGCCTGTCAGGGTAGAAAGGAACTTGAAAAGTCCTAGTTTTCCCTTACCTGATGCTTGGTTTATTTCCCAGCAAAAGATCAGGAGCTCCTTCAACCTCTGCTCAAACACAACCAGCAAGGAGGATCCTGGCTCCTAATCCAAACAGGATCCAATTCCATCCACCCCAGGAGTCTCAGCAGTTATGTAATGATAAAATCACCCTCGTGACGTGATCTGATGTGACCAGCCAATCAGTCCCAGGGGAGCAGAGTGGTACGGAGCAGCCTTACTCAGTCAGAGTTCGGGGCAGTGGCGGAGAGGTTCTGACGGGAACCTCCATCACCTTTTATGAGAAGGAAGAGGAGAACGGAGTGTGAAGACCTGTGTTGATGCCAAGATATGGAACGATCTCCGAGGACCCATAGAGTGGACGTCCCCCCACAGCCAACAAAGAACGCTTCCTCGAGAACTTACAAGCCCCTGAGGGTGGACTCCAGACGCCTACGCTGAGACTCATTTTGTTGGTTAAAGCCGTGCACCTGCGTGCGCATTTCTTCTGCCACCACCAGGTAGCTGTGACACACAGCTTCCACGAAATGTCTTCTTAGACAAAATACCTGCCTTCAGCACTGTGCTCGTTCAAGATCTATTTCGACGCAAACTGACAACATAAAGCTGAAAGATCAGTCAAATTCAGGAGATGAGTTTCTGCTCCTGGGAGAGGAATTCAGGTGGGCGAGAATTGTTACACAATATAAAAACGATGTAATCACTGTTCCTGCATTGTACATATGGAAATTGTCAAATTAGGGTGCATTGTGTACATTCTCAACAGCAAAAAAAAAAATTAAACCGTCAAAACCAGTCCTTCAGTCTATTTGCACCTTTGGAATAAGAAACACGAATTTGGATGTGAAGACCCAGGCTCAAGTCGGCGCTGTGCCTTAGGAGAGGTTGTTCTCTTGAGGCCTGTTTGCTCACCTGTGAAATGGGGATGACCTATAGCTGAAAAGTGCGCAGCAGATGCTCGAAGCTTCTGCAGCTAGAGCATGCTGGGCTGTGCGCAGCCGTGGGTGTTCGCAGAAGCTCCCACACGGCAATCGTCACTAGTTAGCTGGATATGATCCAGCCAGGCTTCACTGTTTCCCTCCAAAGCAGGCACCTCACTCACAGGATGCCTGGTGAGGACGGCCAAGCTCCAGACGTGCAAAACAGGAAAGGCTGTTAGAATGAGTTCCTGGAGCTAGCTCTCCTCCTTGGTCCATGGAGAGCATCGGGCCTCCCAGAGCCAAAGTGCACCAGAGTCAAATCTCAGCTCAAGTGAGTGAGCTCGTTACCAATCTGTAAACTGAAGATCATAGCAGAACCTCTTCACAGGCGGTTGAGAGCTGAGCTGAGTCAAGTCACAGAAAGACAGGCCATTCTGTTGGGCCCACAGTCAGCACATTAAGCCAGAAGTGGAACTTGCCTGAATTCAAATTTTAGCTCCATCTCTGAATAGCTGCATGATTTTCATTCAACAGCCCTTGATGTCTAGCGGCTTTCTAGTTGACAGGTGAGGAAAATGAGTCGGAGAGACAGTGAAGGGTTGAGAGCTCTTTCCATTCACTTCCCTTGAGGCCCATGAAGCCCAGGCAGTTGGAAGTGCCCGAGGGCATGCATGGTTCACTGCTTACTATAGTTCTATCAAGGGAGCCCTGATGGCAGTTAGCTAGGCCCAAGACTGTCAGCCTCAAGGTGAATGGTTCAAACCCACCAGCTGATGTGTGGGAGAAGGGGTGATCTGTCCCCAGGTAGAGGCACAGCCTCGGAAGCCCTATAGAGGCCTCCATGAGTCAGAACTGGCTCACAGGCAGTGGTATACTGTCTCCCTCCAGTCCGACCCTCGAGTCCTCGCCTTCTTCACCTAGAAAAAAGGGAGGTAAGCACAGCTCCTGCCTCACCTGCTTGTGAGGATTAATGAGTAAAGCACGTAGCGCACCCCCCACCACAGTAACGCCTGGTGAGAATCGACTGTGACGACATTACAGGCTCTAATTCACACAGGCAGTCATCAGAGAATGATGCTGGATTTCCCCTGATGCTGGATTCCTCTTTCCCATAATCCTGATTTCATTTTCAGTACATGAACTCTCCTGATGTATCTGACAGCCATAGTAGGTCTAAGGGCACGGGCAGGACACAGAACTCCCCGCAGGGATGAAGATGATGCACGTGCTGGCTCTCCAGCCTGGTCTTGGCCTGGCCAGTTCGGCCTGCGCCAGGGAGAGAGGCCTGTCAGTGGTGACCGAGCACAGCTGGGAAAGCCGCTGTGGAAATGGCCGTGGCAAACAGACCTCGCCCCACAAAACAAGGTAGTGGTCAAAAGACCAGCCCGCCATTCAAGGCAGCTTTGGGTCTCCCACCTGAGCAATGTGCGCATGGAGTATAAACGCTGAACCTGAGACCACACAAATGTGTTCCAAGGACCAGGAACGGAAACAACAGGGTGTTTTCTCACATTTATATATATATATGTGTGTGTGTATATATATATATATATATATTTAAAGAGAGACGTGAGGGTTGGTTTTTGTTTGGCTGTGCTTTTTTTAATGAAAATAATGTACCCTTTGTTTGATACCCAATGCGACTCTGAGGGTCATGAGCTTCTGGTGCCTACACGTCATTTCCGGGGGTGACGGTGGGGGTGGGGGTGATGGTGCTCCAGCCTCCCGGCTCAGTCCGACACTGACGAAGTAAGGGCCCTCCTGGCCATAGCTGGGGAGGCAGCGAGGGCTCAGCGCCTGGCGGGCTTGGGCAGGATGTAAACTTTGACAGGCTTGCTGAAGGGGATGGTGCCCTCGATGCTGGTTTCAACCTGCGAGGACAGCTCACCGCCCTCCACCCAAGGGGACTTGGGGATGCGTGCAGTGGTGTTGTAGGCCAGCAGCAGCCGCACCTCCACTTGGCATGGCTCTGGAAGAGACACAGGAGAAAGTCGTTATGATGGGGAACTGCTAGAAATGGGAGTAAAAGGTCGGTACAAGCAGTATCAAAGAGAAAGCTTCAAGAATATTGGTTGACCGGCCTGCATCCCGCCCTCACCCACACCAAACGTGACATGCACCCAGAGTGCAGCCTGTGAGGCTGGCGGGAGGCTGCTTTGGTTTTCGTGGGTTCCTGTGGCTCAGAGCCACCCCTCCGTCCACAGAGCCCTTATGACCTTGCAGCAAAGAGGGCCACCGAGCCACAGACAGCTGGGTACTTCCTGTGCAGGGGAGCCCAGTCTTCATCAAGTCTGCATGCACCACACACGCAGCTTTCCTCGTGGAGGAAAAGCCTTCACGTAGGAAATGGTTCTGCCACAAACATCCTCACTCATGCACACGAACCTAACATTATGTCAGAAAACCTGTTGTTACTTCTACAGTCTGCATGTGACAGGCCACAGGCTAGAAAGAGTCCTCCCTCGAGCTGTCGACCAGTTAGCTGAGGAGAAACAGCTGCAGTGGAGTCTGTAGCAAATGCTACAGGGACAGAGCAGAGGCCCGGGAAGGTTACAGCCAAGGAGCCACCACAGAGCTCTCATCCCACCACACCACCAACCAAAGACTGTCACCATCTGTACAGAGTGGCACAGCTCAGAGAGGCTCCAAGGAGCAGGCCAGGCTGCTCCATTCCTACGCTGAAGCAATTAATCTTTCTTTTAGAAAGGAGGAGAGGAGACTTCCAAAGGGTGGGTACAACACCCAGGCCCTGTACTCGCTTGGGATGGCCTCCTTCATTAGGTTTCACTACAGAAAAGCAGGGAAGGGAGGAAGATGAGCCCAAGGCTGAAGAAAGCAGAGGGCAGGAATGAGGGCCGGCTGGATCTAAATGAACCCAGGGAGAGCAGGAGTTCCAGACTTCTTCCAGGTCACCTCTAGAAGTCTACAAGCCCATCCCAGCATCTCCTCAGACCAGGCCTCTGGGCCTGGGTGAAACTAGAACCATCTCTGATGAATCTCCCAGTCAGAGTGGAATCAGGGCAGCCACGAGGAGTCAGCTGCATCTCTTCTGTCCCAGACAGCTTTTGACAACCCAGGCCACCACCACAGCCCTTGTCCTGGCTCTCATAGTACTTCAGGCACCAACCCTGACAAGACCAGAGGAGTTGACAGGGGACTTACTCCTGCCTGATCATCCTTCCTTCCCTTACTGACATGTAGTGAGAAGGTGTTCAACCTAAGCTACTGCTGTCAGAGGAAGTGAGAGGGAGGGGCTGCTGAGAGAAAGAGAAATGGACAGAGACAGAGACAGACAGAAGATCATCTAGGACAAACCATGCAGTCTACGCTTCATGACTGGAACAAACTGTCAACTATGAGCTATACGTTCTTACTTCCATTTTATGAGCCTTGGTAGCATAGTGGTTACATGTTGGGCTGCTAATCACAAGGTCAGAAGTTTGAAACTACCAGCTGCTTCTTAAGAGAAAAACTAGGTTTCAACTCTCAGAAAGAGTTGAAATTCTCCCTCTTGAACCAACCTGAAATTGTTCTAGGTGCAAGTATTTCATGTTTATTCCATGACAAAAATTTCTTCTTTGTGAAATACTAATGGTGGTCCTGTCTTTCTTACTCATTATTTGTATTTTTGTCTTTATATTATTATGACTTTATCCTTACCACTTTATTGTGTTTGTTTTTTATTGTTTCTATTGATTCTCCAGTTTGTGAAGCACAGAAGGAATGGATTCATAGAGATAATAACTGATGCGAGATTTATAGGCGAGGTATGGGTGGGGTGGGAGAAATGGAGGGTGAGGGGGCTGAGGGAGGCAAACAATGTAAGTGGGAGGTGGTAGGGAGCACTAGAACGGATTGTAATTATACATTCATTTTTAAAGTTATTTAACCATCAAAAAGGGCCTAAAACTGATTGTGGTAATCATTGTACAGTTCTCCAAGATATGACTTAACTATTGAATTGTATGGTATGTGGATTGTGTGCTAATAAAACTATTTAAAAAAAGAGTTAAAGTCTAAGAAACCCAAAAGGGGCACTTCTACCCTGTCCTATAGGGTCCATATGGGTCAGAATCAACTCAATGGCAGTGAGTGACTCTAGAGATCCATGGAAAATGAGTCCAACCCCAAACCATTGCTACTGAATCCATCACGACTCCAGTGACCCAGTAAGAAGAGCGTGCCCCTACCTCAGAGGGCTTCTAAGGCTATAAAGCCTTACAGAAGCAACTTCAACACCTTTCCCCCTGGGAAGGGCCACTGAGTCTGAACTGCTAGCCTCGTGATTAGCAGCTTAGCACTTTAAGCACTGCACCACTCAGCAGTGGGGTGGAGGGCTTAGAGCTGGTCGAGGTGACTCAACGCTGTCTGAATGGCGGCCTGAAACATCTGACAGGAAGCTGCTGAGGGGCTTCAGGGCAGCAAGTCGTGGATGCGGAGAGAGAGGACGCATCCAGAATGAGAGCATGCTCTGCTCCACTGCCCCAGGTCAGCACACAGAATATATGCCGTATATACTCCTTTATAAGCAGAGTTGGGCGTCCCCACCCCCAGCCAGTCCTGGGGCTTTGGGGCTCGGCTCAAGGGGAGTCCCTCTAGGACATGGGGGACAGTGAATGGTGTGACCCTTTGCTGGGCATGCCTACACAGTAGGGGATGCTGGGCCCCTCTAGGGTTTCCCGTATGGGCTCCAATAAATGTCTTCCTTTTTGCTTAAAAACAAACAAACAAACAGAGTCGGGTTTTTTTGTTGTTATTTTCTAAGTCAAGTTTTTCAACACATTTTTTACACAGTTTTTGTGGTAAAATTAGGTGTCTTGGCTGGTGTTCGGGTCGGTTTATGCTCGAGTATATCCGATGTAGATATGTCTGTGTATATATGTACATTATTTCTAGCACAGTGTGCTTTCTTCACAACTACCTATCGCTTGAGGGTCACCTTCATTCTGAAGTTGAGCTCACACACTCAGAGAGGGAGCGTGCAGACCAGGGACAAGAAAAGGGTCTCCTGCTGTCCAGCCTGTGTATCTGTCCTATGTATCTTCTTCTAAAATGTGAATTTATTAAAGATTCTACACTTGTAAATTGCTCATCTTTTTTGCCATTTTCTTTCACAAGATTGTTCATTTGGGGAAAATAATGTTGTTGTACATGTAGCATTCAATAAACTGCACATATTTAAAGATACAATTTGATGATGGCTTTTGATGTTTGTGTGCCCTCACAAAAACACAACCCTCTGCTTCTTCCCGCAGAACCCTGCTCCTTGTGCAAGCCAAGCCACACAGGAAAGTGGTCCCAAGGTGCTCAGTGAAGGGACTACAAGCTCCTTACAGCAAGTTCAATTCCAGGGAGGCCTGCTTCCTCCACATACTTTTCAAACAGCAGTGGCCATGATCCCAGCCCCCACCCAGGCCTACCTGTCCAGGCAGTGTGGGAGAGGTACACTTGGGTGATGAGCCGGTGCCGCCCTGGGCCAGGATTCCGGAAGTCTGCGGGCTTGGGGTGGATTATCTGAGCCTGGCCATCAGGATATAAAACCTAAGAGGTGACAAAAATGAGAAAAAGACATTTGCTGTGAACACCAACACAGGCAGGAAACACAGAGCCGGAGCCTCTGGGAGGCCTGCATGCAGACACCTCCAAGGGCCTGCCCCGCCCCTCAGCAGGGTTTGCCAGGTGTGCTGGGCATTTGTGGGGAGTGAGTGATAACAGAGCCAAGGGTCTCCTTTAGGTACAAGCAGAGATAAAAATCCTAACTTGGGACCATGAGAAGCCTTCGAAACCACCCCACCAGGATAGCGCCCTCCGTTCCATTCCTAGCCGGCCCAGCTTCCGTCACCAACCACCTAAGTTGAACCCCGTCTTCTCTCCACTAGATGACAAACATTATGGAAGATCCTGATCTGTTCCTTCCACAGAGAGTGCTCACTGAAGAGTCTGCACACACCATGCAGACCTCCCCTGCCAGAGGTCTTTCCTCAGCTCCCTCACATGGGCCAGTGAGCACAGGAAGCTCATCCTGAAACCAGACGTGACCTCGGCAACCAGGATGACCCTCCTGCCTCCTCACCTAGATCCCACCTGACCCCGTCCAGCTGTCCCTTCCCCGCCCTCCCCAAGCTCCCCACCTGTACTGGGGCAGGAGGACGCAGGTGTGCTAGCTTCTGATCCCAGTCTCTTGAAAGACAAGCATTCCCAGGTCAGAGAGCAAGAGCGGCAGGAACACAGTGACAGAGGCAGTGGTATCTCCACACAGCAAAACTGCTCTCGGCCTAGAAGCCCTGCTCTCCCCACTGGGATGGTTAGAAAGCCATGTAGGTCAGGGAGGAATATGGCTTGTGTGCATCGTACTGTGAATCTCAGGGTCACTAGAAAAATGAATGCCCTTTCCCTCATCATCAGGTAAAATGCAGTCACCAGAATAGTAACCTAAGCGCTACTGACAGGCGGAACTGCAGAGTCTTCACTGGCGACAGTCACACCTCCCCGCAAGCGCTCAGTCGTCTTCACTACATCCCAGCAGTGAAGACTGTGCTGAGGCGGGGAAGTCCTCAAGAAGTGGGGGGGCCACAGAACCACCCCACAGGAGGGGGGCAGTGAATGCCTAGGGGCCCTTGCTAGCGTCTCCAAAGTGTGGCCCTTTGGGACCTGTCAGTGCCAGAGAGGATCTGTCCATCAAAAGGCCCTTGCAGAACCGGCCTGTAAGCACATCAACTCATGTGGGTGGGTGGACTCTCTGAGGACACATGAAACAGCGGATTTCAATGCTGGCTACACCTACGAGCCCTTGAAAACAAACCGCCATGACGCCCCTGGGACCAGCGTGAAGGATTCTGATTTAACTGGTGCAGGCGGAGAGCTGCGCCTCGGTACTTGTTAATGCTTTTCAGGTAATCTCCCAGTGCAGCGAGGATGGAGAGCAGACAAAGACTGCAGCTCAAAATTAGGTCTCTGTGGGTCTCAAGATTTCTAGTTCCTGGGAGGAAGCCAGAAACCATTTCCTCTCCTGTGACCACAATGGGACAGCTTCAGGGTCTGATACATCGGGGTCTCCCCCAGAAGAGCTAGCTCCCTTGCATGTCCTCTGGTTGTGTTCCTTGCCAGTGCTGCACCCCTGCTTTTACTCCCATACTTTCTGCCGAGGACACCTCCTTTCTACAGATCTCTTGCTGCTTGTCCTCCATTCAGACCCCAGCCACACAAAAGCACTGTCACAAAGCCGTTCCCTGGCTCAGTCTCCACACGACTCTCCTTTGTCCTCTTACTGTTTCCTGTGCAACTTCATCACTGGCCCCTGACTGCCTGTCCATCTGCCTACCACTCGGTGAGATTCTGAGCATGCCAGAGGCAGGAAGCGTAACATGCTTGCCTTGACAACCACAACACAGCAAACACAAGTGCACAGATGGATGGAAGTGTGGATGGGTGGAAGAATGAGTGACCGGACAAGGTGCTCTAAGGGATGAATGGTGGCTGTCTGAATTGACTCGGTGGGCACCTCTCACCTGTGCATAATCTAGCTATCTAACTCAAGGGGGAAATGCTCCCTGCTGATTGCTGCTTCTTACCCATAGATTTTGTTCACAGCTGCCCTACCATAGACTGTAAAGAACTTGTTTCTTGTAGTTTGCTAGTAGCCCTGGAAAGAACCAGGTATTATCCGTACATTAGGAAAGCACAAAGGGCCCTACCCTTAGTGCATGCCACCATTTCTTTCTTTTTTTTTTTTTTTAAGAGAGAACTTTATATCAAGAAGTAATTATCTATCAAGCAAACATCCCAGCTCAGTCCAGATCAAGGCCATAAGTCCAATACTAGTCCATACATCCCATACTGGCCCATATGTCGCTCTTCAGACTCATGCCGCCACATGCAATGATGCAGAATACACGAAGACCACAGGCTGGTGGGTGCATGCCACCATTTCAATAAGATGCCAATTAAAGTCCTCTCTGCCCTTGTAAACTCGGGGGCTCCAGGCCACACTCAGTAGTTGGGCTGGGATTTAAATGCAGGCTCTTTTCAAGCGAGGCTCATCTCCTTTCTCGCTCTCCCTCCCTCAGACAGAGATTACAGTGATGCTAGCATTAAACGCTCAGGGTTGGCACCTAGAAACCCCTTGGGGGCTGGAGCCTTACAGACCTGGACCTTCACGGTGCTCTGAGGATCTTGCACGTGTTCCAGGGTCGCGTCCACATCCAGGGCCACCACCAATCCAGATGTAAATCGTAAAGGGTTGTCTGACTCGCCCGCTGGTTCGATGATGGTGGCTGAGGCTTTGTGGATCTATAAATAGTAAGAAATGTCATTCTTAAGTTATCCTCAGACCACAAATCAAGGTGCCGGTCCTTCTTATCTCACGGACGGACATGCGAGAGCCAATCCAAGGGAGGGCCGTGGCCCCGCTGCTCCACCTGGTGCAAACAAGACCAACAGGGTGGGGAGCAGTTTGGGCTGTCTAGACAGGTGTGGCTAGAAGCAGCATGGACCCTGACCTGCTCTGGAAGAGGGAGGTGTAAGAAGGTACTCTGTCGCAGCATGGTCTGGAGGATTTTGACCACTTCTGAAGGTTTGGATGTCATGAGTCGGGGCATAAGGTCAAGAAGTTTGTCCACAAAGCTGTCCTGTAGGTGGGGCAAGTCAGCAATGAAACACCTGGAATGACAAACAGAAATAACTGACTAGGCATTCATTCACCGCAGGCTGAGCCCCAGACAGCTGACAAGCTCCAAAGTAGGAGAAATAAGGCACTGGGAGGAGCTCATGATTCAGGATCTAAATCGTTTGTTTCCCAAAGTGGCTGATAGCACCCCTGGGGGGCACTAGAGCAATCCAGGGGTGCAGTAAAAGGAGATACCAAGCTGATAGTGCCCAGCTATCAAAATATATAACGTCTGGGGTCTTAAAAGCTTGAAGGTAAACAAGCAGCCATCTAACTCAGAAGCAACAAAGCCCACATGGAAGAAGCACACCAGCCTGTGAGATCACGAGGTGTCGAAGGGATCAGGTAACAGGCATCATCAGAAGGAAAAGTCTTACCATAGTGAATGAATGGGGGAGAGCCTCCTCACCTAGATCCCACCTGACCCCGTCCAGCTGTCCCTTCCCCGCCCTCCCCAAGCTCCCCACCTGTACTGGGGCAGGAGGACGCAGGTGTGCTAGCTTCTGATCCCAGTCTCTTGAAAGACAAGCATTCCCAGGTCAGAGAGCAAGAGCGGCAGGAACACAGTGACAGAGGCAGTGGTATCTCCACACAGCAAAACTGCTCTCGGCCTAGAAGCCCTGCTCTCCCCACTGGGATGGTTAGAAAGCCATGTAGGTCAGGGAGGAATATGGCTTGTGTGCATCGTACTGTGAATCTCAGGGTCACTAGAAAAATGAATGCCCTTTCCCTCATCATCAGGTAAAATGCAGTCACCAGAATAGTAACCTAAGCGCTACTGACAGGCGGAACTGCAGAGTCTTCACTGGCGACAGTCACACCTCCCCGCAAGCGCTCAGTCGT